GTAGGTGGAACAATAAAAAATAAAATAAATTGTTAAAACGTTTGATGATACACAGGTTTTCTCACAAAGAATAACTCTTTAACACAAAATTACAAAAAAATAATAATAAAAATAAAAACTACTGCTGATTTTGGACTCTTCAGACACCCYCAGCTTTGTTCCAAATGCCAGAAAATTCATTTCTAATGATCATGTCATCACTTGTCTTCAAACCACGCTTGATCAATTGCTTGGTCAGCCCCCTGCTTTTTTATTTTTCAAAATAGCCTCTTACTCCTGAAACTTTGGAACCCCCTGGAACAAGGTGGCTGTCCTTCMTTTAAGGCCTACAGCCCCTCTGACTGTAACAAAMCAAACATAAATAAATAAATAGACACAACTTTTAATTTGTACATATTTCTCAAACATATAACTGACAGGCTTTTCACTTGAAATGAAAACTGTACCACGTTCAGTGGAGCATTGATTCCAGTGTTGAWACCAGTGTTGGTATTGGTTCTGAGTATTGGGGCATTTTGATAAGTACTTGTAAAAAAGACTGGTATTTGTATTGGGACACCAGTAGCTAGTACCATTTTATTTAATTATATATACTGACTTATTTGCAATATTTACATGTGGCTTTTCGCAGATTGTACTTCACCCAACTCCCAACAGTCCCAAACAGTGTGATCTCCATAAAATGTCAGTTTCTAAAGGCCTCCCAGATGACCTCAAGATAAAACTGGCCATTCGCATGGACAAGCCACAGAATATGAAGCATTGTGGGTAAGTGACAGTATGATTCCATAATCTTCACTAGATTTAGAAATGTTAAAATAAAATTTTGGTTGTGTCAACCCATCTACACATTTTCTTTCTGTTTTCACTTTATATATATGAAACACGTGCCATTCTACAAGGTCGAGAAAATGTCTATAATATAAAGATATCAAGGAGAAAAAAAAACATTCATATCTTGGCAAAAAGTTTTCAGACCTTTTTTTCCCTCTTAATTTTTTCTCAGATCTAAAAGTTATCAAAATGTAATGGTCGCAGACTTACCCCGGATTTACATTACTTGCGTTCTGTCTCTGCTCCGCTCTGCTGCGCAGGTCGCAGCTGCACCGTTTCAAGTCCAGTTTACGTTATCTCCGCTCCGGTCCAACAGACGTGCAGGAAGAAGATTTCGAGATAAATTCAGTGATAAATGAGGAAGTCACAGCAAAAAATAATTAATTCTGTGAAAGTCGAACTCCAAACAC